GGAAATACATTCAGTGCAGTGATACATGTACTAGTATTTACAGATACAAGACAGTTCACAAAACCTAATGGATCAGTATTCCTGAACCTGTGAGTTTTCTGCTGGTACATAAACAGAATGTTGGACTTACATGAGCCAAGTAAAATACACCCTTCAGCTGTAGATACTTCTGCCACTTTCCAACACTTGCTGCATCAAGTTGGTCTAGTGAACCTCCTGTTGGTATCATCAAGGATGATTGATTAAAATTGTCAATGACAAAACCAAAATAGCTATGCTGATGCGTCTGAGATTTTGAGCAGGTGTGTAGTTGCCTACTGTTGGTATGAACAGGGAGATAACTATCATCTACAAAAACTGTCCAAAAGCAAATAAAACTAGAAAGGCCAATATTTGCTTTGGAGCAAATATAGCGATGGGTTCACCACATTTTACGACATGGCAGGGAAAGAATGAGAAACACTAGAAAGGCCAACATTTGCTTCGGAGCAAATGTAGGAATTTCACTCCATACCCTTCCCCAAACAAAAATGAGAGATTCTAAATAAATCATACTGCAATAATACAAGGACAAGCTGTTTGAATCTCGACAGGTATTTACAAAACTGGCACTTGGCAATTATCTCCCTTTTTTTTTACAAAGATACAACGACACGCACTTTAAATCTCGACAGCTTTACTTTACACTTTTGACGAGATTGTAACTACTACTAACGGAAGCAAAATTTTCACGGCCTGAGAAAAATGGACATGTTCACGGAAGTATATATTCACGGTGGTGACAGTTGCAGGAAAAAAGAAAGTCCAGGAATTATTTCCTAACTGTAATGATAAGTTCACTATACAGAGGTGACAGTGAAAACCGTGAACATTGACCCCCCGCTTGCGTTGCGGTACAGTGAAAAAAAATTGGGAATTACAGCAATCAATTTACTGAGTATGTTTGCTTAGTTTCCAGATGTTTTGTACTTCTAGTTTTTAAATGAACGAAAACCGATGCGCGCACAGATGTTACTTTTGTGACAACATCAAAGTGATTTTGGTTTGTATGTTGAAAAAATACAAAAGACTAACATTCGAAGTTATTGAAATTCTTGAGTAAGAACAATCAGTTTTGGAATGTTAAAAGCAAAGCAATGGATATTAAAACGAAAATGTTAAAATTAAATAGTTGAAATTGTTAAAATGTAAAATGGTTAAAATGGTTAAAATTGTTGAAATTGTTAAAAATGTTATAATTGTTAAAAATTGTAAAAAGGATAATTAAAAATATCCAGTGTACCGGGGTTCGAACTCGTAATGTCTGGACTTGCAGCCCTGCGCGTTACCAACCGAGCTATCTGGACACGTTTCCAACACTCTCTGCATTGTATGTCATATAAAGTGAACAACATGGCGGTAACGATCGCTTCAAGTACTAGTAAGGGACTTTCTAGGAGATACACTCTACAATTTTGGTGATTCTTCAGAAATCGATAACAGAATATATAATACTAGTCGGTGAAAATTGTGGAAAATTGTTGATACCGTGGCGCGCGCGCGTGCGCCGACGATACACATTACGTACCGTTGTTTACAGTACTCGCGGGGCGCAAGTCATTGACCTCCCGCTTGCGTTGTTCCAACAGAGAAGAGCAAAATATCTGCCAGTTTTTGCGTCAGATTTTCAGTGTTTGTTAAAATCATATACAGGCATCCATGCAGCTATAATTCTTCCAACTAGTTCGTAGTTAGGTGAAATGTTTATAGGAATCACACGAATCGGTATCCAATATCAGAGTATCAAATAGTAATGGCCCACGGCCGAGACCGCGTGGACCAGCCGATGGCCCACGGCCGAGACCGCGTTGACCAGCCGCGCTGGTAATCCCCCTATTGTACGTGAAAATGGTAGTAAATAAATTAATTAGCCAACAGCCAATCAACAGCCACATCTGCAAACATGACCACACCTGCTTGTATGCCCATATTTGGGCCTTCCCCCGAATTCCTTTCTTATTATGTCACGCGCGTACGCCCCCACAGTACTTTCCTATGGGGACCACTAAAAAGCAAATAAAACGATTGTAAAAGCTTGTATCAAAAAAATTAAAAAAACGCCTAAGGGTATTTACCCACTCTACCTCTATACGAAATTACAGGTAATTTCGCCCAAAAATGAAGGAGTTGAATCAATTTAAAGAAGTGGCAGGAGAAGAAGAAGAAGGAGAAGAAACATCAGAAAAAGCAATATGGGTTCACCACCACTTCGTGG